GTCTGTTTTTGTACCAGTACCATGCTCTTTTGATTACCATTGCTTTGTAGTATGTTTTGAAGTCAGGGATTGTCATGCCTCCAGCTTTGTTCTTTTTTCTTAGGATTGCTTTAGCTATTCGGGGTCTTTTGTTGCCCCATATGAATTTTAGTATTCTTTTTTCTATTTCTGTGAAGCATGTCATTGGGATTCTGATTGGGATTGCGTTGAATCTGTAGACTGCTTTAGATAATATAGATATTTTGACTATGTTTATTCTTCCAATGCATGTGCATGGGATATCTTTCCATTTCTTTATGTCATTATCGATTTCTTTCAATAATGTCTTGTAGTTTTCGTTGTATAGGTCTTTCACTTTTATTAGGTGGTTTTCTTTTTTAAAGAATGTCCTAGGATGTCTCTTAGTCATGAGTTTAAAAGGTAAGATTAACTTTGTAAAAGAAAGGCAGCATTTTATAGTGCAAAGTAATGATATTAAAATGATACATAAAGGAAAGAAGAATTTTATGCTATTTTTCAGTGTGTTAAAGATTCTGATTATTTTGTTTTTGGCACAGTAGACAGCCCCAAGAAAGGATGGCTGCTATTATTTATATTATATTTTACTTGTATAGTAAGTTGCAAGTTACAAATATATATATTTGGTTAGCATTGGTTTTGCTTATCTGTTTTGAATTAGTTGAATGGAGAGGCAGACAGGAGTAAAGAAACAAGCTCAAACTGGGAGTGAAGTTCTTTCCCGGGCCCTGCCATTAAGTAGCTGGACCTTAACTCCTTGCCTTATTCTTCCCCTCAGAAATTGAGGGGCCTGGACCAGAAGATCTAAATTTGAAAGTCGTTAGTTTAGTAAAATTATAGTTTCACTTGTTTAGGAATGTACATTTCAATTGATCCTTCCACCTGACAATATTTATAGTCTGTTAGTTGACCTATGTTATAAAATGTTCATCTTAGACTTGTATGATATTAACATAATTTAAATGTCTTGTTCACAGAGAGACCTCTCTCCCCCAAGGCTGTCAAAGGATTTGAAACTACTCCACTTACCAAGAATTATTATACTGTGGTGAGTGTTCAGATGATGAACAAAAATTTTCTTGACTCCCTATATGGAACTTTTTCACTTGTCGAACCACTGATATGTTGAGGTGACACAAATGGAAGACTGGATGAAGTGGCGTTGCAAGGGTCTAATGTCAGCTGCAGTACAATGGAGCTCTTCTACTTGTAGGCCTCTTACAGATGTCTAGAAGTTTTACATCCACTGTATTGAAAAATTCAAGGGTAGCACAAAGATTCAGAGCAAGACCTATAAAACTGTGGCAAAAGAGAAATCAGTTAATAATGAGGCATTATGGGGAAATTCAGCTGTTAGATATAGCCTTGCCAGATATTTAGAAGGTGAATTCCCAAGCTCCTTTAATGCAATAAATTTTAAGTGATTGCATGTTGTGAATTTATTTTAGAATCAAGCAATCCATTGTGATATCCCCTGAAATATTATCAGCCTTGTTCTCGAGGAGAGCCTAAAGGGAAGAGTGCCCTTTGGCACAGAAGGAGGAATGAAGTGGCTCTGGCTTGAACACAGACATGTCAAAATATATTAACTATAAATAGGGCATGTGCAATACTCAAAATAAGTTCCCACTTGAAAAAGAAATTGTATCCTTTTCCTTAATCTACTCTCTGCTTTCCTTCATGTCTCCTTTCCTGACTTGGCCCAGTCACTAATGAAAAGGTCAAGTCATCATAACGTCTTAAGTTTTCCTGTCTGGGAGCCTCGTTGTCTTCCGCCTCCTCTGCTGAAATACAGTTTCACTTTTCACCCAATGATCTATGTGCGTTTGTACTGCATGCTCCTTCCATTTTGTGCATGGATAAACAGTTTTTAAGCACTTCTGTACATTTAGTTTAAAAAAATTGAATTTCATTCTTCAGTGAATCTGCTCCATAATGACGATATGAGCAGTAGTTGGTATGAAAAATCAAGAAGGAACTTCATAGATAACATGGACAATAATCATAGGGGACAATTTTGTCACTATTTTTCCTTTTACGTTTCTGCGGTTAAAATATATTACCCAGCAGAACTAGGTTCCCTTCTCCCTTCCTCCCTGACCACTTCTTTTAGCTTCCAGGTGACTCCCAATTATAAAAATCATTTATAAATGATTTAATATTTAAAGAAAAGACACAGTCAAACGGTGGATGAAAATATTATCATAGCTTCTTCTCCCTGTGGATCTGGAGCATACCATCCATTGCTCTGCTCTGGATCTCTCTCTGCCTCTGCTGATTCTACCAATTTAAAATGTTGGGATTATCTAAGGCAGATTAATCCCTGTGATTCTTATGGGCCTTGTGTAAATCCTATATATACCATATACAACCTCTAGGTGTACTGCAGTTTTTATCACCCACCTCCTATAGGAGTTCCTGTGCCTTGTTTCTAGTTCCTTGCTAGTATAAACAATTCTGCAGTGAACATCTTATATGTGTAACTTTGGCAAAGTATATAAAGATCTGTAGAGTAGATTCCTAGAAGTTAAATTGTGTGGTCAAAAGATAGACATATTTATATATCTTTAAATTTTGATAGATTTTGCCTCAAACCTCAAACATAATAAAGAAAATAGAAGGTCTTGGGGAGCCCATGGTGGCCTGTGAAGGAGCTGTAAAGCTTTGGTGTAAATATTGCTGAATTATTGAGACTAGTTGGACATATTATTGTAACTAGATATGGATGTGAAGGGATTTGGGTTGGCTGTTGGTGATTTTTATTCATCCACATTTCTTTTGATTTGAGTATTTAGGCAAATTTTTAGCAGCAATTAATTCAAAATGTGTTCTGAGTGTTCTGACTGTCCTCCCAATCTGTGTTGAATACCTTAGACCAATCAAAAAAATTCTAGCCCACTCACAGTATTTGGAGACCTGGAAAATCAACTTCACCCACATGTAAGGTGTCCCCATCTGATCTTATATTAAATCTTTTTCCCTCTAAGAGTTGTTAATTGTAGACATTTTCTGTTACTAGTTCTATAAGATCACTAGTGACTGATTTTTACTCCATTTTTTAATAAAACAGAAAGAACATTTTTTCTGATTACCTAACATTATATAAATAACTGGTTTTTAAAAAATCAGACAATACAGAAAAAGTATAAAGAAAAAAATAAATGTCACCTGTATCACCTTTAATCCCACCACCCAGAGATAATCACTGTTAACATGTTGGTGAATCTCATGCTAAACTTTGACGTAGGTGTGTGTGTATGTGTGTGCATATATATGCATATATGTGTGTATATATATAGCCTGTGATATATATGTGTGCATATGCATATATATTTAAATAAAAACAGGAACTATGTATTCTTCATTATTTCTCCTTCATGGCAATTTTTCTATCTTCATACCTTGACAATACTTGTCTCTGATCAGGCCTGTTTTTATGCTCCTCCATTCAGAGAGTTCTTGCTAGTCCAAATGCTCCCTTTATGTTGGTCCTGTGTATTACTTAGGGTTCTCCAGAGAAACAGAACCAAGAGGATATATATAAAGAGATTTACCATAAGGAATTGGTTCACGCGATTTTGGAGGCTAAGTCCCCCAATCTGCCATCTGCAAGTTGGAGACCCAGGACAGATAGTAGTGTAGTTCAGTCTAAAGGCCTGAGAAGCAGGAGAACCAAGGGTGTAAGTCTCAGTCTGAGGGCAAGAGAAGATCCAGTTCATGCAGTCAGGCAGAGAGAGCAAATTCTCTCTTCCTCCACCTTTTTGTTCTTTTCAGGCCCTCAACAGATTGGATATGCTCACCCACATTGGGGAGGACAATCTGCTTTACTCAGTCTACCGATTCAAAGGCTCATCTCATCTGGAAAGACCCTCAAAGACACATGAAGAAATAATGTTTAATCTGGGCACCTTGTGAATCAGTCAAGTTGACGCATAAAATTAACTATCAAGTCCTGTAAACTTGGGCAGGATAGAGACCTCTTAGAATTTGCAAGTCTACAGACATTCTCTCTCCTTTTTCAAGTTTTCAAGGGATTTTATGCTGATTTCAGCCCCATTCAGGCCTTGATGCGATCCTAGTGGCACATCAATTTTGAAATGTTAAGAAATTCTCCAGTGTGATCAAAGTGGCTTTGGGCACCCAGCTCAGAACTGCATCTGTCACGAGACATGTTTAATGTGTCTAACTGAGGCTTGGCCACTCCTGGTCTGTTGTTTGGAATGGGAGTTTAGCATCCCTTAGGGACATGGTGGCTCAGAGGAGGCTTTTGCTGCCTCTGACCTTGGTTCCTTCATTGTCCTCAAAATTCACTGCCATTTGTTAAACTTCTCTCACCATTGGAAAAAAGCATATCATTTTTCTATTAATTATTTTTCTAATAATCTTCTTCTGTTTATTGGCTTTCTTTGCCCATTGTAACTTGATGTTATGTGCCAGGAGTGATTAAAAAATAAAGAACAACAGGGGCTGGCCCCGTGGCCGAGTGGTTCAAGTTCTGTGTGCTCCACTTTGGCGGCCCGGGTTCACAGATTTGGATCCCAGGCATGGACCTACACCATTCATCAGCCATGCTGTGGCAGCGACCCACATACAAAATAGAGGAAGATTGGCACAGATGTTGGTTCAGGGCTCATCTTCCTCAAGCAAGAAAACGAGGAAGATTGGCAACAGATGTTAGCTCAGGGAGACACTTCCCCAGCAAAAAAAAAAAAAAAGAAAGAAAAAATAAAGAAGAACAACAAATAGAAAGTGCTAACTGTGTGAGGTGATTTGATGTATTAATTAGCTTGATTGTGGTGATCATTTGACAATGTATACCTATATCAAAACATCAAGTTGTATACCTTAAATATGTACAATTTTAATTTGTCAATTATACCTCAATAAAAGTGAAAAACTAAAGAACAGGAAAAGGAATGTATGTAGCTTAGTTGTCAGGCTTAATTTTTATGCAGCATTTAAGTCTTGGCACCCATGGTCTCATTTGGGAGGCAGGACAGACACAATAGCATAAGCCACATGGCAGAAATGGTGTAAAGTTATAAAGTGTCCTAAGATGAGTTTCTCAAAATGTTGTTGGGGGATCCTTTGCATCAGATGCCCCTGTGGAGCTTGTTAAAACTGCAGAGATCTAGGCCCCACACCCAACTTGCTACATCAGAATCTCTGGCCATAGATCCCAGGAAACAGCATTCTTAACAACTCCCACAGCCCCTTTCTAACCCTCTCCCTCCCCCCGCCCCCCAGAGGGTGATTCTGATACTCACTAAACTAAAGGTTGAGAACCAATAAAGGGAAAGATTGAATGGAAGAGAAAGGTTTCAAGGTGCATCAGGACTTCGATAAGCAGAGAAGAGCTGAAAGGGAATTGAGGCAGGGGGATCTATATGAGTAAATTCACCCAGGCAAGAATGTTGGGGCCTGCAATCCATCCCTGCAGGTCATAGCGTGGACTGCACTCTCTTCTTCCCCCATCAATATGCCGCTTGGAAGGTGGAATTCTTAATTCATTGCAACTAGCACCCTGTAAGAATACGGTCCTTTGTGCTGCCACAAAGAGGCCAGACTCACAGTAATCCTAATATTCAGCTCTGGGAATGAGCAGCTGTCTGCAGAGGGAGAGATGATATTTCCCTACATCCAAATAGGAAAATATATTCAGTAAGGGCCAGTATTATTTATTTTTTTCTAATTTTCTTCTACTTTATTGTAAGTTGTGGCAGATGCCTAAAGGGTGTATCTTACAGAACTATATGCAGTAGGAAAGGTGGGAAGAAGTCTGTCACATAAAAACCCCAGGAAGCCTCCTGTAATTCTTGCTCTTGCCACCCACCTTCTGCTTACCTCCATTTTCTCTCGCTCATCTGTCTACCCACTTGCTTCCACTCTGAATTTTTTCTACCTTTTTAGTGCTTATCTGCCTTTTTTTTAAGACTTTATTTTTTTAGAGCAGTGTTAGATTCACAGCAAAACTGAGTGGAAGGCGCAGAGATTTCCCACATATCCCCTGCCCACACACATACACAGCCTTCCCTGCTATCAGCATCT